TTTTACGATCTATCTACATGGGACCAAATTAGCAACAGCAACTTGAAAGGTTGCATAGGAAACTTCATGGGCAGTGAGTACATAAATGAGGAAGGAACAACTTGGAAAAGAAAGGCCAACATGGTTGTGCAACAAGAATGGAGCCAATATCCCTGAGCTGTGTATGTAGAAATTGTTGCACTGGTATATGTTCTGCTGTATATATCTCAGCGATAACCACAAAAATAGAATATGATGGGGCTTCAAAATTTTTGTGGGAACATTCCATTTTGTTTTCATTCCATTTTTCCAAAAACGTTTTGGAGCCCACTAGCAAGTTGTTTTTAAAAACACTAACCGTGGGCAGCCATTTTGAACAGGAGTGAGTGGATGGACGGTCGAGAACTCCCATGGAAGAAGTCTGACAGATCAACAGAGCCAAAGGTGCGAGCATTCCTTTCTCATTCTTTACTTTTCCTCTGTCTACCCAAACTCCACTCTGGGGACCAGAGGGGATACTTGAACAAGTGGGCACCCCCAGGGAAGGTTCTGCTACACACGTGGAAGGATCTGCACTGTGAGGATCGCTGGGTGCAGAATCAAAGAAGGGGAAGGAGTCAACAGGAAGAGTCGCAACAGTGTCTTCCAAAGCGGGTCTGGCCAGGCCTGGGCTGGTTCGCACTAAGAGAAACACCTGAATGGACTTGGGGGAGGGAAAAAGGCCCAAAATAAAACCTTGAGTTACATCATAAGGTACAACAGCAACACCTTGAAAATTTTCAGGCGGCTTGAAAGCAAGAGGCCATAAGGTGGTGCTAAAGTCTTACTCATATTTTGCCATGGTGTTTTTGTTGACATTGTTGTTGTTGTTGTTGTTTGGCGATTTGGGACTTTAGTGTCTAGAGAAAAGGTCGAGGAAAATAAGGAAGTGCGAAAAGTACTACAGGAACAATCAAATAATGAATTGCATTATCTAAAAAATAGATGTAGCAGTAGAGACCATACAAAACCTGCAAAAAGAGGTCCAGATAATCAATACTAAAATATCAGAAATGGATAGTACACTGAAAGGGCAAAGGAGTAGAATTAAAGGGATGGAAACCAAATCAGTGAGCTTGAGGACAAATGTCTCAATACGGCTTAGACAGAAGAACAAGCAATAAACAGAATGAAAAAATCTGAAGAAAGCCTAAAATTAGTGTGGTACAACATGAAGAGAAATAACCTACAGGTGATTGGAGTCCCGGAACAGGAAGAATCAAAGAAAACCACAGAAGAGATAGTCAAAGAGCTGCTGGAAGAAATTTACCCTAACAACCTGAATGACAAGAAGATAAGCATTCAAGAAGCTAAGCGAACCCCAGATAGAACAGACCCCAAAAGAAAATCACCAAGACATATCATAATCAAGCCCTCCAAAATCAAAGACAAAGAGAGAATCCTGAAAGTATCTAGGGAAAAGAGAAGTATTACCTACAAAGGCAAGCCAATAAGATTGGGCTCTGATCTCTCAGCAAAAACCATGCAGGTAAGAAGGCAATAGAGAAACACGTACAAAGCTCTGAAAGAAAAAAAGTACCAGCCAAGAATCATTTACCCAGCAAAACTGTCAACTCAAATATGAAAATGAAATTCGAACATTCCAGGATAAACAGTAGTTAAGGGACTTTGTAAAAGTCAAGTCAGTGCTTAAAAACATACTAAAGGAGCCCATGGACAAGGATATAGCCACAGGGGGCTAGAGCTGAGAGTGAAGCAAGCAGCTGATATGAAGTGAGGGGAGACGCACAAGAACACCCAAACTTGCAGATAGTACCTATTTGACCTAGCCTCGACGGTTTTAAAATCAGAACTCGACTAGAGGGAGTTTTTTTTATTTATTTTTATATTTTTTGGTAAAGAAAATGAGTGTAAATTGCTACAATTTGATGAACTTGACCTATACTTATGGATATAGTCATTCAAAATACCAACTGAGAGGGAAGGAGTCTTCACATCAAGTATCAATCCTATTCCCTGTGTATACAGGGTAGACAGGGATGGGCAACTTAAGACATTGGCTACCTAAAATGAGGGGGTGACAAAGGCACAAGTGAATGGCTTACAAGTTTTCAAGAGGGAGTTTAGTTTAAGAGCCTTCAGAGGAAGGTAGACTCCCCACTGAATAGTTTTCATCTTGTCTAGATGGGTCTGGTAAAAAGAGATGGGGATGAGATTCTTATGATTCAATAGTGCGTAACTGTCATCATGACTAATTGTGACTGTCACAACTGTAAAGGTAGAAGTTTTGTAACAAAAATGGGGGAGTAGTTAATCTTACAGTCCAGAAACAGAGGACCCTAGGACCATCAAAGGAGAAGAACACAAGCGGAGTGTGAGACCCTATCCAGTGAACCAGAGACACCAGAGATGGAGACAGAGATGAGGACATGAGAGAGGGAGCAGCTGAGGGGTCTAGACTCATGGAAAGAGAGGGACTGGGTGCTGGCGGCCAGGAGGCAGGTTTGCAGAATGTGCCCTTTGGTTGTTTAAATTATTATAAATTCCTGAGTGTTTCTGTGTGCATCCCGCCCCCCAGTCCCTCCCAAAAAAGAAACAGGCAATGGAATGATGATGCATGAAGGAGATTGTAATCATTGCAATGAAACCATGGTGTAAAGCAGATGTTATTCCATGTAAACTATCACCCAGTTCACAATAAAAACTGTAAAATAATAATAATAATACTAAAGGGAGTTCTTTGGACTGATAATCAACAAGAGCAGATAGCAGCGATTGATATACGTGGCAACCCCACCCGGCACTTAGTCACGACACGGATGAGTCCAAAGTAGAACAAAACTACAAGAACGAGATCAAAGGGTTCTGGTGGCATCGGACAGTGTTTCCCTGATAGTCACAAGATGACTGATTATTCAGAAGGAGGCCAGCTCTCCTGCCTCCTAGTCTGTCTCTGTCTGGAAGCTCAGCTGACACCTGTCCACCCTGGGTGACCCTGCTGGGATTTACAATACCTGTGACACAGCTTCCGGAACCACAGCAACAGGCTCCCCTTACAGTAAGACAGACTGACAGACGACTTGTGGAACTTTCAACATGGATGGCACAAAATAAAACTATGTATTCCATTCAATGTTGTTGTTAAGTGCCATCAAGTCAGTGCCCGTTCATAAAGACCCCTATAAGGTTTTCAAGGAACAGCTGGTGGGTTTGAACTGCAGACCTTGTGGTTAGCAATCCAGTGCTTACCTATAGGGCTATACCAGGACTCCTATAGTTTAAATCACTTCAAATTTCTTGTTTCTATTTTCATAATTAAATAGGAAAGTTCTTAAGAGCCAAGTGCCAAAAGTCAGATCTAGCAAAACCATTTTTATTGGCATATTTCTTTAGAATCGCAGCAGCCTGTAAAGTGTTCTAAATTAAAAACTCAAGTGGCCATATATGGAAGCAGAAATCCTTTTCTGTTTTGTTTAGCTCCATATTACAAACTCAATTTATAGAAATCCTAACAATACACACCATTTTCCTTAATTGACTTTGGTGTAAAAATATATATATATATATATATATATATACGAACTATGAAAACTTAAGAAATTTTTAAATATCTGGAAACTTATAGTAAAAAGAAGAAAGGCACAAAATCAATGATACTGCATAAAGTTAGGAGAGGAACAATTGTAAAAAAAAAAAAGGAGGAGGAAGAAAGAAATAATAAAGGTAGGAGCAGGAACCAATGAAAAAGAAAAGACTCATTCAACAGAGATGACCAACAGGGCCAAGTGCAGATTTCCTGTGAGGATTACAGGATTGGAAGATCTGGCCAAGAGAAAAAAAGAGGCAAGAAATAAATCCTGTCAGGAATTAACAAGGGACATCTACAGGTACTGGATGACCGACATGCATCTGACCCAAGCCAAGGTATTCTCAACCACCTCATATGCATGTGGAAGCAAGACACGAAAACGGAGCCAGAAGCAGCATTTCACGTACCCAACAGTCAGGCTTAATTTTTCAGGGTTCCTTGAGTGGTACAAATGGCTTGACGACTTATCAAAAGGTTGAGGGTTCAAACCCACCCAGAGGCACCTCGGAAGATATGCCTAGCAATCTAATGCTGGAAGGGAATTGCCGTAACCCACAGAGCTCTTCCTCCCTGGCTGCCTGAGCGTCCGCACCATCACGGGTGACACACTAACTATCTGGACCCGGAAGTTCATGACCAACCGATGACTTCAGTGGAAACAAATGGTCACTGATGTCCTTCAGAAATTTGGGGAAAACTTGCCAACATGTATAAGATGATACCAGATGTCATCTTCGTGTTTGGATTCAGAACCTGTTTTAATGGTGACAAGACTACTGGCTTCAGCATGATTTATGATTCCTTGGATTATGCAAAGATAAGTGAACCCAAACAGAGACTTACAAGACATGACCTGTGTGAGAAGGAAGAAACAGTGCAAGGAATGCAAACAGAATGGACAAAGTCAGGAGGACTTTGTACAAAGACCAATGTTGGTGCTGGCAAAAAGTGAGCTGGGGATTAGAAAACAAGGAATAAAGAGTCGGCGATGATTGTGGATTTTTCACCAGAGGATTGTTGTTGTTGTTGTTGTGTGCTGTGGAGTCAGTTCCGACTCATAGTGACCCTGTACAGGGTTTCCGAGGCTGCAAATCTTTACAGGAGCAGAAAGCCTCATCTTTCTCCTGCGGAACAGCTGATAGTTTCGAACTGCCGACCTTCAGGTTAGCAGCCCGATTCATAACAAATCACCAGAGGATTAATAAACCCTAAAATCTTTTATTAAAAAACCCTATGGCGCTCAGGTCCCCTCTATACAAACGGGGTCACTGACTCCACAGCAACACTATCAACAAGAACTCGACGTCATTCCATTTCTGACCATGATGACTTACCTCATCAGTGTGGTGGGTGTGGTGGTAATGGAACCCACCCCTCAACCAAGCACAGATCCACCAATTTAGAGGGTCCCTTCCAGCCCAGGCCTGCTCACCGAGATGGCCGTAGCCCACCACAGTCTTGGCGCTGGGCCCGAGACGAGCACGCAGGTCCACCACAAGGTCGTAGAGCTGCTCCACAGGCAGGGAGATGTCGTACTTATACACATAGCCGTCCCGGCTCAACGCTTCCGTGATCCTCTCTCGCAGGGCCCATAGGGTCTGATGAGAGAATGACATGGAATCAACATGTCCCAGCCAGGGAGCTCCCGTGGTGGCAGCAACTCCAACTGCCATCACTTGGGAGTGTGACTGGGAACTTCTCTGTGTCAGACAGAGGGGTGGGCTTGCACACTTGTCAACACCACCCACTGAGTGGAAGGCTTTGCTCTTCGTAAAGATGTGAGTGGAAGCTATGCCTTCAGCTCTGCTCTCTCCAAAGACCCCACTGGAACCTGAAAACACTAAAAGTAAAAAAATGAACAGGCTGTATGTAAACCCAGAACCAGAAGGGGCCAGTACACAGTTAAGACCTGACCCACAAAGAGCCCACCAGGGCCCGCAAGGGGGACACGCGAAAAAGAAACCCCTACACACAGCCCCCATCCTGGGGGCTGACCTCAGAAGCTGGTTGAAAGTTACCTCCAAAGTGGGAGCAAACAAAGACCCCTCACCTACCACTATGCCTCATGAGGGGGGTTCTGGGGCCCACAGATTAAAGAGCGTCCAAATGCAGACTCCAGCCCTCCCCTCCTGAGGCATGAAGAAATCTCTGGAAAAGCAAGAAGCTTCCATGCCACCTCTCACTCACAGCCAGAGTTTCTCCCAGGCCCCAGCGCGCCCAGCATGCCTTGGGTGCTCCCTCGAAACCTGAGTGAACACACAGGGAGGCCTGTGGTTGTCGATGCTGTCGGTTCCGATCCACAGTGACCCCAAGCCCAACAGAACGGGACACTGCCCGGTCCTGCACCATCCTCACAATTGTCATCACCAGTAAGCCCATTGTTGCAGCCACTGCGTCAGTCCATCTTGTTGGGGGTCTTCCCCTTCTTTACTGACCCTCCAGTTCTCCAAGCATGATGTCCTTCTCCAGGGTCTAGTCCCTCCTGATAATATGTCCCAAGTACAAGACCACTTCTAAAGAACACTCTGGCTGTAGTTCTTCCAAGACAGATTTGTTTGTTCTTCTGGTAGTCCATGGGACGTTAATTCAATACTCTTTGCTAACATCGTAATTCAATACTCTTTGCTAACTTCTCCAACCTTCCTTATTTATTGTTTCCTGAGCTAAACAGAGCTCATCAAAATTAAACACAGCCTAACTAAAGTAAAATACTTTTATAGAAAAGTTGGAGGAAATTGCAGGAAAGCTGTCAATAAATAAAAGGAAAAAAAAAAATGAGGAAATGGGTAAAAGCTGGAGTCATCCAAAGGCCTAACGGCCAAGTCTCAGAGTTTCAGCACCAAGAATGAGGGCGACCACTGCAAGTGAAGGAGAACATGGTGCCCACCCGGGGCAGCGCTCAGCACTGAGGCCAAAGAGCCCCATCTGTACGAGGTAGGCAGGGGGTCCAGGTACTGGGGTGCCTAAACCCAAGGAGGGTGAGCATGGAGCTAGAACAAGAGTGGGGTACCTGCAGGGGCTGGCGGAGGGGCCAGGTGACAGAGACCAGCCCTGGGCTCATCTGACAAGAGCAGGCTTAGTGGAAGGTAGGAGAGGAAGTTGGGGGGTGAGGGGAGGGAAGGACACGGGAGGAGGTGGGGGAGGGGACGGAGGGGAGACATGGGGGATGGATGGAAGTGGGGATGCCTGCCGCCAGGTGGGAACTGGTACAACTGGGGGAGTGACCAGAGAGGGGAACAAAGGACAGAAGCAGGGTTCTGTCCTCACCCTCACCGTGCGCAGGAAGAGAGAAAGCGCACTGTACGGAAGGTTGCCCTAATAAAGCAGGGAAGGAGTGGACATAATGCTTCCACTCAGCCCTGACGCTGACCTGGGCCTGCCCCACCCAGCACCGGCCTCTCCTGCTGCACTCTCGCCCCCTGCTGGCCACTCTTCACAATGCAACCCGGGGACCCAGTGGGGGCTGGCCGATGACTCCCATGTTCCGGTCCAGCCCGGGTCCTATTAAAGCCAGAATCTGGTCAGTGTCCGCCATGTCCACACCTAGCAGGCTGGACCAGCTGGACTTTCTGGGCCTCTCCAGACAAACTGGAGTAGAGCAAGTGGGAAGGAGGGACCCAGGGGAGTGGCCAGCAGCTCACAGGTTACCTTCATCTTCCTCTGGTCGGTGGCCACAGTGCCATCTGTCACCAAGCCGGAGTCCAGCGCGTCTTCCAGAAAGGCGGCCAGTTTTGCCTCATCGTGCTCCATGTTGGAACCTGAGGTCTCCACCAGCACGTAGAACGGGCTTTCTGGGAGGAATTGGGAAAAGCTGAAGGAGTCTTCAAGATCCGCAGGTGGGTCCAAGCTCTTTAAAGCGCATCCTGCTCCTTCTCATCCTCACCCCCACGGCCCTCTCCTCCAGCATCCCCACCCCATCTCCAGGCCTCCTGCCACGGAGGGTCCCAGACAACCTGAGGGATGAAGCCTGGTCAGGCTCCATTTCATACAGTGAAGAAGGTCCAAGTTCATTCCAGGATGGCCCACCAACACTAAAAGCATCACACAGTGTACACCCCGAGCTACATCCTTTGAGATTCTCACCTCAAAACCCTCACCTTGGTGTGCCCACCAATCCTAAACAACCATATCATGGCCTTGGTGGTGGTGTTATTGTAGGTCTGACCCACAGCGACCCCACAAATGACTGAACGAGACACCACCCAGTCCTGAGAGACACCACCCAGTCCTCACAACCGAGCCCGTGTTTAGAGCCACTGTGCAGGCAGGCACTGCGTCAGTGACTCTCACTGGGGCTCCTCCGCCTTGTCGCTGACCCTCCACTTTACCAACCATGATGTCCTCTCCAGGAACTGGTCCCTCCTGATAATGTGTCTAAAGTACAAGAGATGAGGTCTCTCCATCCTCGGTCCTTAACCTAACTAAGCTCCCACACTGAAAACACATTATCTGTGATCCCAGAGCCTCATAAACACTCTCTGTAAGCATTGGTGGTGGAGGAGGCAGACATATCTGCTTACAGATGTGTCTCATTCATAAACCTCTCACTGCAAAAGGAAGCCCCTGGATCGTAACCAAACGAAATACGATACTGTGAATGTAAACCTGATGTTCTCCCATGTAAACCCACAAAATTCACAATAAAAACTTAAAAAAAAAAAAAAAAAAAGGAAGCCCCTACCAACCCATACCCAACCCCAAAAGTGACATCATGAAGCCCCCTCTTCCCACAACCCTCCTGGTGGGGGCTTGGGCTGGGGACTTCCCACCAACGGGCTGGTTCCACCATGACAGAAGAGCAACTTCACACGATTGGTTGGGTTAGAGCAGGGATGGGGAACCGTTATTTCTGCCAAAATTGGTAGCATCATTTGCAGCAAGCATACAAAATTATCAACTTTAAAACTAGTCTGCTATATTTGGTCCAACATTTAATTAACTCAGCCCTAAAATCAGAAAACCAAAAAGGAAAAACACGCTCAGCATTTC